GGAATTTTGTGAAAATTACAGATCATGCTAGTTGTAAGTTGCCTACCATAATGTCTAGTGCAAACACTAAATTGCAGCTGTTTTTTTTTTTTTTTTTTTTTCATTTGTCACTGCCCATTCTTTGGTTTACCATATGAATCTAAGATTTAGTCACACTGTCATTAATCTCAACCATTAACATACCATTCTTCCTTTTCATTCTAGCAAGGTCCAGGGTGTTATGTTTTCTTTTCTCTTTTTCACTGTGACACTCAGGAATGTGTGAGATAAGAGGTCCTAGAGGGAGTGAAAAGTCACAGATTTGCTTTCTGATAAAACACCTGAATCCTCCTAAATATGTGAAGCTCTGTGACCATTTCAGAGACACACAGAGGTTCAGATTCTATTTCTTCCCCCATTACAAGTCACATTGCTGGAGAGATTCTTCCCAATATCAAGCACTGGCCACAAGTCAAGCTGGTGTCTTCCCATTTGGGACCAGTGAAGGTGAAGAACTCCAAATAATTCCTGCCTTTATGTGAAGAGTAGTTTGTCTCCTTCCTCACTCCCCGTCTCCAAAGGCTCTGGCGCCTTGCCTTCAACCCCTAGTCCAAGGAGCTGTTTTTAAATTTTAGTATATAACAGTATACTGTTTTAGTTTTCCTAAAGGTACCCAGATATTTACTCAGACCTAGGCTTGATTATACCAGGGGAAATAAACCCATTGTTTAATCAAATGCAAATGACAGGCACTAAATTACACATTTTTAATATATTCTGTTGTTAACTTTAATAAGCACTTTTTATTGAGTAGCTACCATGTTTGTATGCTCATTCTCTTTTAATTTTCAATAAGGTCATTGTTTCAGTGTATTTCACTTATAGTTTTGAGACATTTTTCTATTGAGCCACGATTGGGTAATGTATGGGAAACTAATCAATAAATAGTTCTTATGATTCAAGAGATACATTGTAAAAAAGATCAATTCTGCCTAAGGATAGCCATGTTAATTTTCTGATTCCCTCAAGCTTAAGTACTAGCTGTTAAAAATATATATATTTTTTAAGATGGATGTATCATTTTCTATAGTTACTGCTTATTTTCAGGGTGGTACAATAACAAATTACTTTCTGTCTAATGACTTCTATTCCTGGATGCAGTGGTATAAAATAATCTGCCCTTATCATTCATATTTCTGTGTAGTTGAGTAAGGTGGGAACTATTTTTGATATGCTGGAGCAATGGGGTTCCATGCACTTTCTGTCAGCAAAAGTATCGGCTGCCAGAAACCCCTGATAAGTCCCATTTCAAGCAGGTAGAGTCTGGATAATAACAAACAGCAAGACAACAGTTAGTACTTGTGAACTGGCAGTACTGCCAACTTGACTTACCGCTCCAACCCGAAATAAACACCCTGGAGTTAAACAAAGCTAAGTCATCCATCTGCAAGGTACGCAGTGGGCTTAGCCAGGAAGAAAGACCTTTTGATTTGTCAAAGCAATTTTAAACTACTGCCATTTATCCCGGCTAGAGGTTGAAAAGGCCAAGGAGAAGCTTTTAAACATATGATAACATCACGTAGTTGGGGACATATGGTATTTGCAGACTGAATGAATGCTAGATGGAGTTTGCTGTGTTCTGGGCCACCCTGGGTGCAGAATAAAGAACAGCCCTCTTTTCCTGACTTTACCACTAATTTGCTGTCACTGAGAAAAGTAACGGAAGCTCTTTTGGCTTCTAGTTTTTCATGTATAAAATAAGGAGACTGGAAAAGATGCTTTTTCAGTTTCTGTCAAGCTTCTGAAGCCCCATGATTCTTAAAGGGCTCACAAAGTAGATAGAGGATCTTGGCTGAAATGATCATTTCTTTGAAAAAAGCTAAGTAAAAAAATTGTTTTATTTCCAGCTTATGAACCCATTCATTATTTTTTTTTTAATGAACAAACTGTCCAAGTTTTTCAGGTACAGTAAAAATTAATAAGGAAGTAGAAGAGTCAAATGAGAATCAGTCACATAAGAGATTTTGTTAAAAGCTTTCATTATATCAATTCAGCAGCCATTAAATTGTTAGTATATTCTTAGTTTTAGGTATGTTAGTCTTATCTCCTCAACTGTCAGGTTGAATCATGAAATTGCCATTTTTGAGGGTTAAAACAGTCAGTTTTTGTCAGTTTCCAGAGTTCAACCTATAGATGTGATCTCCCTGAAAGCAAGGTATAATATTGTATATCTTCTCCTCATTCCCTTTAGTTCTCTTTTTTTTTTTTTTTTTGAGACAGAGTCTAGCTCTGTGGCCCAGGCTGGAGTGCGGTGGTACCATCTCAGCTCACTGCAAGCTCCACCTCCCGGGTTCACGCCATTCTCCTGCCTCAGCCTCCCCAGTAGCTGGGACTACAGTCGTCCGCCACCAAGCCCGGCTAATTTTTGTTTTGTATTTTTAGTAGAGACGGGGTTTCACCATGTTAGCCAGGATGGTCTCGATCTCCTGACCTCATGATCCACCCACCTCAGCCTCCCAAAGTGCTAGGATTATAGGCGTGAGCCACTACACCCAGCTCCCTTTAGTTCTTGATATAATGCTTAGGCACCTTTGTTTCTTTGACAAATATGCATTGAAAGCAGTATCTTGAGGCAGAAGGCCTTTTGGAAATCACTTATATTATATTACTTTATTTTGTTAATTTTTTAGACAGGGTCTTGCTCTGTCACCCAGGCTGGAGTGTAGTAACACAATCTCGGCTCACTGCGGCCTCAACCTCCAGGCTCAGGCAGTCTTATTCCTCAGCCTCCCAGGTAGCTGGGACTACAGGCACATGCCACCATGCCTAGCTAGTTTTTTGTATTTTTTCATAGAGACAGGGTTTAGCCATGTTACCCAGGCTGGTCTTAAACTCCTGGGCTCAAGCAATCCTCCTGGCTTGGCCTCCCAAAATGCTGGGATTACAGGTGTGAGCCACAGCTTCTGGCCTGTATTATTTTAAAGATGAGGAAAATAAGGCCCAAAAATGTCTCGAAGTTGCAGTTCTTTTTGATGTTCAGAATGACACTAACACATTATAAACAAAAAGTCCTGAACATATTTTGGATATTCTACCTACCAGTAAAAGAAGCTGATCTGGGCCGGATGTGGTAGCTCATGCCTGTAATCCCAGCACTTTGGGAGGCTGAGGTGGGCGGTTCACAATGTCAAGAGATCGAGACCATCCTGGCTAACCAACATGGTGAAACCCCATCTCTACTAAAAATACAAAAATTAGCTGGGTGTAGTGATGCACACCTGTAGTCTCAGCTACTCAGGGAGGCTGAGGCAGGAGAATCGCTTGAACCCGGGAGGTGGAGGCTGCAGTGAGCTGAGATCGCGCCACTGCACTCCAGCCCTGGTGACAGAGCGTGACTCCGTCTCAAAAAAAAAAAAAAAAAAAAAAAATGATCTGATACATTTTCTAGGGACAGTTCTTAACAAAGTTGGGAATAGAGGTGATTCTCAAGTTTTAAAAACCTGAAGGCCCTATTTTTTTGTCATTCTTGTTGACTGAGGTATTGACACTTTTGGAAAAAAAAATATGTTTAAGTAGTTAATGCTAGTAAGAAAAACTTAATCTAAGGGAAGGTAGTAACAATAATACCAGACTATAAACATGATGTGAATCTGCACTGTAATCCCCAAATGCATTACTTTCCTGTATTTGATAAGTTTCATTTCTCAGTAAACAACTTCCAATTGTAGGTTTAGTTACTGTTTGTAGAAAGGTGTCATGACTTAGCCATATTAGAAATAGAGAAGTGTAAAGATGTTCATGGGCCATACTCTTGACTGAAGCCTTACACACTGCAGACTCTCCCATGTTTTCTGTAACATCTCTCTGCCATTTTAATGGTAAAATAATCATATTTTAGAGCATCTGATTTAATATTTGTCAATAACAGTTTATACTGAAACTTAGAAAACCACAAAGAATGCAGTCCAACACACTGTCTTTACAAATGGGGAAACTGAGGCCCAGAGCAACTTTAAATTACTTAGAGTTAAAATTAGAGCAAATTGGGAGTTGGCATCCAGTATATTATAATGTCTAATGTGCCATTTGCTCTCGTTCTAGTTACGAAAACATTTGCCTCATATCCAAAACAGTCAAAATGGAGCGAAGATTAAGTAAATGATGTTTTGATCATGGTGCTTGGAGTGAAGTAAACGGAAGACTTATGACACGATTACGTGTTGTTTGGAAATATTTAGAAAGTATGTTCATAGTTGATCCTTTAGGCAGTCAGTGATTTGTTGACTGGGCAAGTCTGTCACACTTTTACGTATTTGCCAGTTTCCAAACACCTGGAAGAAGCGTCAAGTAAAACTTCAAAACAAAGGCCTGTTGGATACACAGCCTAAGACTTTACGGTTTTTTGCTTACTTTTTTCTGGTAGAAACATGAGTTCTGCTGGCCCTGATGGGAGAAAAGCAATGAGAAGATGTGACGGACTCATTGACTCACTGGTCCATTATGTCAGAGGAACCATTGCAGATTACCAGCCAGATGACAAGGTGATTCAAGAGATAACTGTCCTGTTCTGTCTTACGAAGATGTTTCAGCATATTCTTAAGATAGCTGCTTGGTTTTGGATTTATTCACTGACTCAATTGCTGAGCCTAAGATTTTTCCATACATCGTTAGAAATATTAAAACCTATTGCCTTTTCTATTTTCCAGGCTCCAATGTCTGTCTATCTGTCTAACCTCACTATGTGGATATTTGAAAGGAGCACAAATGCTACATGTTCAGCAGTGAATTTTAATGTATCTCTTTTTTCATTCCCAAACTTGCTCCTTCTGTTTATAATCCATTTTTTTTTTTTTTTTTTTTTTTTTTTGAGACAGAGTCTTGCTCCATCACCCAGCCTAGGCTGGAGTGCAGTGGCGCAATCTCGGCTCACTGCAACCTCCGCCTCCTGGGTTCAAGCGATTCTCCTGCCTCAGCCTCCCAAGTAGCTGGGATTACAGGCATGTGCTACCACACCCAGCTAATTTTTTGTTTTTAGTGGAGACGGGGTTTCACCTTGTTGGCCAGGATAGTGTTGAACTCCTGACCTCAGGTGATCTGCCCATCTCGGCTTCCCAAAGTGCTGGGATTACAGGCGTGAGCCACTGTGCCTGGCCAGAGCTAAAGGATTTTTAAGGTTAGATTTTCTCCTCTACCACCTTCTAGTTTCATGGTACAGAATAGATGACAACATAGCTTTGTTCCATTAATTTTGCTTGTCCAGAAAGGACCAGGATGTGTAGGTTGTAGGGCCTTGTCCTACCTCCCAATGTTGCTCTATTTGCAGAATGAACAGCTGACTTTGGCTGATGTTTGTTGATACCTTCAGGAAATAATGTTGACTTCAGAGTTAACAGACAAGCCTTCTTTTGGCATCGAGTTTTTCTTCCTCTTGCCAGTTCAAATGAGGCTTCCCTTTTGTCATGTGCAACCACAAGCTGACTGTGCTGCTTCTCTTAGTTAATCACAGACAAGGCCCAACTGTTTGATATGTATCAGGTGGGAGTTAAACAAAAGCCCAAGCCTGAATCTTAAATAACAAGAGGAAGAAGGATGCCTGCGTATCAGCTGATGTCTTGTCAAGTACCTACTTAGTCTTGGAATAACTTTAACTTTGCCTACCAAGTGGTTTTCTGACTGGTACCACTTAGGGTCTTACCATACAGTTTACATTACACAGTACTAGGAAGCCTATAGTTGTTGGTGATGCGTGCATAATTTTTTAAAACCATTGAGGTGATCACTCTCTCAGAGAGTGCTGATTAGACCTTCAAGACTGGTCCCAGGCCAGGTGCGGTGGTTTACGCCTATAATCCCAGCACTTTGGGAGGCCGAGGCAGGTGGATCACCTGAGGTCAGGAGTTTGAGAGTAGCCTGGCCAACATGGTGAAACCCTGTCTCTACTAAAAATACAAAAATTAGCTGGGCACAGTGGCACACGCTTACGATCCCAACTACTCAGGAGGCTGAGAAAGGAGAACCAGTTGAACTTGGCGGCAGATGTTGTAGTGAGCCAAGATTTCACCACTGCACTCCAGCCTGGGCAATACAGCAAGACTCTGTCTCAAAAAAAAAAAAAAAAAAAGACTGGTCCCACAGCCACCAGGCCTTGTATATGATACATGCACATAAACTGTGTGTTAGTAAAAACCATACCCATTATCAAGTAGCAATAGTCCCATTTAAAAAACAAAATTTTGGCTGGGCACCGTGGCTCACGTCTGTAATCCCAGCACTTTGGGAGGCCAAGGCAGAAGGACTCCTGGAAACCAGGAGTTTGAGACCAGCCTGGGCAACGCCATGAGACCCTGTATCTACAAAAAATAAATTCACTGAGCATGGTGACATGCGCCTATAGTCCCAGCTACTCAGGAGGCCGAGGTGGGAAGATCCCTACAGCCTAGGAGGTTAAGGCTGCAATGAGCTGTGATTGTGCCACCACACTCCAGCCTGGGCAACAGAGTGAGACTTTGTCTCAAAAACATTTGAAGAAAAAAAAAAATTTCTAGGCCAGGCACAGTAGCTTACACCTGTAATCCCAGCACTTTGAGGGCCAAGTGGGAGGATCACATGAGGCCAAGAGTTTAAGACCAGCCCGGGCGACATAGTGAGACTGTCTACAAAAATAAATTAGCTGGACTTGGCGGTGCATGCCTATAGTCGCAGCTACTCAGATGGCTGAGGCAGCTGCACCCCTTGAGCCCGGGAGGTTGACGCTGCAGTGAAGCATGATCATGCCACTGCATTGTAGCCTGGACAATAGAGCGAGACTAACTCAAAAACAACAAAACAAAACAAAACAAAAATTCTGCCTCCTAAAGTTCCTTATTTTGTCTGGTGGTGAAGCGTCTTGAAAAGATGCACCAGACATTATTGTTCCCGGCCATTTCATGTCCTGGAAATTAACTGTAGCCTTTTACTTTAACCATCTCCTTCAGCTCGTCGTTTCCCCAGGCCAGCTGACCACACACTGTATACTGAGCTTGGATATTGTGGGATTGTAACAAACTTCCTTTCAATGCTGGTCAATTAAGCATATTTGACAGCACCCCTGCACATAGCCACAGACAGACTAGCTTATGTCCTACCTTATATGGAAGAGCCTGTAACAATCCTGTTAGAGCAGTTAATTCTGATTTTAAATGAGAATCACAGGTCAGAATTTCCCAGAATGAAATGCTAGGGTACCCTAATTTCAGGAATTTTGTGAAAATTACAGATCATGCTAGTTGTAAGTTGCCTACCATAATGTCTAGTGCAAACACTAAATTGCAGCTGTTTTTTTTTTTTTTTTTTTTTCATTTGTCACTGCCCATTCTTTGGTTTACCATATGAATCTAAGATTTAGTCACACTGTCATTAATCTCAACCATTAACATACCATTCTTCCTTTTCATTCTAGCAAGGTCCAGGGTGTTATGTTTTCTTTTCTCTTTTTCACTGTGACACTCAGGAATGTGTGAGATAAGAGGTCCTAGAGGGAGTGAAAAGTCACAGATTTGCTTTCTGATAAAACACCTGAATCCTCCTAAATATGTGAAGCTCTGTGACCATTTCAGAGACACACAGAGGTTCAGATTCTATTTCTTCCCCCATTACAAGTCACATTGCTGGAGAGATTCTTCCCAATATCAAGCACTGGCCACAAGTCAAGCTGGTGTCTTCCCATTTGGGACCAGTGAAGGTGAAGAACTCCAAATAATTCCTGCCTTTATGTGAAGAGTAGTTTGTCTCCTTCCTCACTCCCCGTCTCCAAAGGCTCTGGCGCCTTGCCTTCAACCCCTAGTCCAAGGAGCTGTTTTTAAATTTTAGTATATAACAGTATACTGTTTTAGTTTTCCTAAAGGTACCCAGATATTTACTCAGACCTAGGCTTGATTATACCAGGGGAAATAAACCCATTGTTTAATCAAATGCAAATGACAGGCACTAAATTACACATTTTTAATATATTCTGTTGTTAACTTTAATAAGCACTTTTTATTGAGTAGCTACCATGTTTGTATGCTCATTCTCTTTTAATTTTCAATAAGGTCATTGTTTCAGTGTATTTCACTTATAGTTTTGAGACATTTTTCTATTGAGCCACGATTGGGTAATGTATGGGAAACTAATCAATAAATAGTTCTTATGATTCAAGAGATACATTGTAAAAAAGATCAATTCTGCCTAAGGATAGCCATGTTAATTTTCTGATTCCCTCAAGCTTAAGTACTAGCTGTTAAAAATATATATATTTTTTAAGATGGATGTATCATTTTCTATAGTTACTGCTTATTTTCAGGGTGGTACAATAACAAATTACTTTCTGTCTAATGACTTCTATTCCTGGATGCAGTGGTATAAAATAATCTGCCCTTATCATTCATATTTCTGTGTAGTTGAGTAAGGTGGGAACTATTTTTGATATGCTGGAGCAATGGGGTTCCATGCACTTTCTGTCAGCAAAAGTATCGGCTGCCAGAAACCCCTGATAAGTCCCATTTCAAGCAGGTAGAGTCTGGATAATAACAAACAGCAAGACAACAGTTAGTACTTGTGAACTGGCAGTACTGCCAACTTGACTTACCGCTCCAACCCGAAATAAACACCCTGGAGTTAAACAAAGCTAAGTCATCCATCTGCAAGGTACGCAGTGGGCTTAGCCAGGAAGAAAGACCTTTTGATTTGTCAAAGCAATTTTAAACTACTGCCATTTATCCCGGCTAGAGGTTGAAAAGGCCAAGGAGAAGCTTTTAAACATATGATAACATCACGTAGTTGGGGACATATGGTATTTGCAGACTGAATGAATGCTAGATGG